AGCTCCGTGGCCACCCCTTCCCCTCTTCCATCCTCTTCCCTGGAACCGAGGGGGACTGGAGAGAAGGCGGTGGCTGCTCCCCGTCCCAAAACGAAAGTGGCCCAGGGGACAGACACGCTCTGAACAGGCCGGGGTTGCGCTCATCCTCTCTGAAGGGTCTTCCCTCCTTGCCCTATGGCCCGGCCTTACCTCTCCCAGAACTGGGACGGGGCAGGGAGGGTCCGAGAGCTGCTAAATCTCTGTCACCCACAGATCCTGACACGGCCAGGAGGCCTGAAATGCCCCTGACAGTCTCGGTCCCACCTCCCCGCCCTCCAGAGGCGTTGTGCGGATGGCATTATCGGAGTGTTTAGGGGGTTTTAAAACTATGAATTGATAAAAATCAACCTCTCGCCTTGCCTGGAGCTGGGACAGGCACATCCTGACTGCTTTTCCCAGGAATCTTGAGTCCTACTGGATTTCTTGGACTAGAAGATAAAATACTGGAACGTAAAAAGTTAAATATGTTCAGACGCTCCTGTTGGCCCTACTCTCACGGGAACTCCAGGAACGGCTACTGGAGCCTTTGTTCCCAGGGGAAACCCGGGGGTCTGGCTGGGGAGCCATCAGCACAGACTGGTTCTACCCGACAAACCCTAAAATCCACCAGGAGTGGTGGGACGAGAGGGTCCCCGGCTATGCTAAGAGGAACGACAACGTACTGGTTCCGGACATTAGGGATGGAGGCACCCCCGCGTTTCTCCCCGCTACGGAAAATGCTCCTTGGGACCCCAGGCAGGCTGATCAGGTGGCTGGAGGTGTTGATCCACCCCGGTCGTTCCTTTCCATTTGTGCTCTAAAACTGCTTGTGGGGGAGACGGGCTCCCCTATTTCCTTTACAGCAGCCCGAAAGCGTGCCTGCTTACAGCAGGCCAGGGACTTGCCCAAAATGGGGTTCCCCCCCTCCTCTCCCGGCCCCACAGCGGGACGGCGAGAACGGTGCGAGCACTGCCGTGCCAGCTCCACTACGCGGGGACTTTGCGGGAGGGAAACAAATCGGTCCCAGGGGTGGGCAGAAAGTGCACGGACCCTGCAGCTCCGCTGATCTCGGCGCCGCTGAGTCGCCCCGAGAGTTGGTTTGCAAACGAAAATCCCCAGGTGAAGTCGGGGAGCTGGGCACCGCACCGCCCGTCCGCCCTAGCGGGATTGCTCCTTGCATCCCGCTTCTGGTTGCGTTTCTAGACCCGCGGGTTTCGTCCCTGGTCGGCCCCGTTCAGGTCCCGGCCCCGCGGCCGGAGACCTCCGAGGGAACGGCGACTTCTCCATCTTTCTCTGCGGGGAAATTTCCGGGCTTCGCGGGGCCGCTGTGTCCCAGCCGGGCCGGGCCGGACCTGACCCCGGCTCCCAGGCTGGATGCGAGCACTCGGGTCACATTTATTTTTGGTGCAGATAAGTTTCTTCCCCTGTAAGGAGGTGGTTCCGAGCGAAGGAAGGATCGGCCGATAGCTGTACAACGAGCTCCAGAAATGGGCTCTGCTGGGGAGCTTCTCCCCAACCCCACAACGTTCCCCGGTACCCCGGTGCCCCCTCCCCATCACAGCTGGGAGCCGAAGGACGCCCATCTCGGGACTGTTGTTTTCCGAAGAAAGCAACGCCGTGCGGTGCCCGGGATCATGGGATACCTGTAGGTACCTTTTACCAGTGGTTTTTCAGGAGTGGACTGGGACAGGGACCATAGACCCCGCCGTGGCTCTCCGTCCTTCACCGCGGGTCCCACCGGGGGCTCTCCGCCCCTCGGCACTCTCAGCCCCAAACTTGGAGGGGTGCTTGAAGACTAAAACAGTTATTTATGTCTTCAGTTCCCGGCTCGCCCTCCTGGCCTTTGAGAGATGCTGTGCCAAGTACTAGCTACCAGCTCGAAGGCACGGAGTTTTGCTCCTCTCCCCGCTGCTAACTGGGAGTGGTAACTTGTTTAGACCACTTAAACTAGGCAGACATAGCTGGGAGCCATGCACGGCTCAGCTATGCCGGGAAAGGAGGTGTCATTTGTACGCAGTTACTTTGGTGATCAACACTTGAATGATATATGCCGCCTGCTTTAATTATATTCCTGTGACATTTTCCTGGACAGGAGCGGACCGCACACAGCCAGAGCTGGGCAGCCCCGGCAGCGTCCTGCTGCTGCCCGCCGGGCCCGGGACGGCGAGGGCAGCTATGCCCACACCCCGAAATACGGTTCTGGAGACGGCAAGAGGAGAGGCTTCCAAAGATGCTACTCGGAGCCTGAGACTTTTTTTTTTTCTTTTGGGTGTGTGTGTCCCCACTCACGAGGAGTTTTGGTTTCAGCGGCAGTTTTCTCCTCTGTGAGGAGGAAACGCCGCAGTTTTACCCGCTTTTCTTCCACGATGGAAGGCAGGGACACAGACAGACACTTCCCCAAAGGTTTTAGGGAAGCCCTCATCCATTCCCCAGGATATCCAAGGGCCACCGTGCCCCCCAGCCCTGTTTCTCCCTGCCTCTCGATTGAGGATCCAACTCAAACTTCTGCCTGCCCCAGGAGTAGGTCAGTTCCAGGTCCCACTCAGAGGGGATGTTGCAGGTAGAAGCAGGGAGGGGAGAGGGTGTTGGAGCGCATTGGGTGAGGATATTCTTCCCCATACGACCTCAAAGCTGGGATACACGACTGGCAGCTGCGTCCCGGCGGGACGGGCAGAAGAGCCCGGCGGGATGCGAAGTTCCGTGGCGGTGGCTGGAGCAGGTCCCCGGCTGTCCCCGGGGCTCCCTTGCTCTCAGGAGCCCTCTGAGGACAGTGAGATGCAATGGGACACGCCGGGGGGCACTGAGGGTCCCTAATTCGGGGTTGGGTGCCAAACGGGCTGCCAAAAAAAGAAAATTAAAATAATGAAAATCCGAAGGATAAGGAGGGGAGATGAAGAGCTCTCCCCCTAAGCCGGGCTGGGGGCAGCCCAGCCCACCCCCGGTGCGGAGACGGAGTCGTTTGCGAGAAGGGAGATGCAGCGGTTGCAAAGGAAAGAAAAGTCAGCGCAGGACAAACGAACCCAAATCCGCCAAAGGCAGCACCGGGCAGCCGAGAGCACAGCGGAGAGGGCTCGGTCGGAGCCTCCCGGGACAACCACCGAGCGCCGGGGTACTCGGGGAAGGGGGCCGCCATCTGCCCCCTTCCTTCTCAACCACCCTTTTCCCAGTGAGGTGCTATTCGGGGAGGGACGCTGGGCACAAGGGCAGGCGACAGGCCTGGAGCCACCGGGCTGAGCTGCTCATGCAAAGCATGAACCCGGCTATCCCCTACCAGGCAGCGGCCGAGGCAAACGAGGAAGGGTCCCTCTGTGTCGGGAAGTCTGTACTGAGGCTGCTGTCCGTCCTCCCCCGGGCTCTGCCCCTATTAGGGAGCCAAAGTTAAAAAAAAATTAAAAAAAAATAAAAGAGAGAGGGGAGACGCAGGCTGGGGGGGGACAACGGGGGATCCGAAAAGGTTTGCAGGATTTCGCTGTGTCTGGAGCACTTTTGGCCGTGCCCTGAACGAAACGGGCTGTGCTCGAGATGGGGGGGTAAGTTGCTCCCGTGTCCGCACTCCGCTCTGCGGGAAAGGCTGCGGCCGGTAACCGGCTGCGCCTCAGAGCATCCCGTACGCCCGCCAGCCCGCCCAAACTCGCACTCGGGAACGAGGCTATTTTTCTTTCGTTTTCCCCCTCCTTTTTATTTTTTTTTAAATCTTATTTCTGTAATTATAATACCAGAACCCCGGCTGAGTTCTCAATAAAACCTGGATACTGACATAAAACGACACGCTGGAAAACAATGCGAGGGGACACAAGGGAGAGGAGGAAAGTCTCTAATTGGTTAAAATATGTTTAAATCACTTCATAAAACCCAAGCAAAGCGAAGCAAATAATCCACCTAGCAAAGCAAAGAAGCCGGGCGATTTAGAATCAGTGTAATTCGCTCCCCCCCGACCGGCTCCCCCCCATCTCCTCGCAGTATTTGATATGATGAATAACCCAATATAGGCCTTTAAAAATAGGTCACTGCATAAAGAGACTCCCAGAGAGCTATAAAAAATGGGAAGAGGGCGCTTTAAGGAGAGGAGCCATTTGCTTCTTTTGTGCTTGTTTGGTACCTAGCGGCCTGGGAGCTGCCAGCCGTCCTCCTCTGGGCCCTCAAGGTGAGGAGGAAAAGTTGGAGCCCAATCCAACCCCCCGTTTCTCTTCCTGCCCCGCTGCCTCTGCAGCCACCGCCCGTCCCGTCCAGCCCCAGCCCGGGCCGCGGCTCGTGTCCCGGCCGAGGTTCCCCGGGGACCGTGGGGGAGCGTTCACGCCCGCAGTGGGGGCCAAGCTGCTCACCCCGGCTCTGGGCTTTGTCTCCGTCCCTGCGGAACAGCGGGACAGAAGCGGGATGGTGATCACCGCGTTGAAATACTAAGGAGCGGGTCTGGCCCCGCCGAGAGCCGGGCCGGGCCGGTTCCCCGAGAGTGGGGGACACAGCAACCCCCGCCACCCCTGCCCCTCTCCAGAGCCACCCGTGAGCTCGTAGCAAAAGGACTCGGGCTAGAACCCGGCCCTCCCCGACTCTTCCCCCCGCGCTGCTCCCGGCCAGGAGCACCCGGCGCCACCGCAGCCCAAGAAGCCGCCGACATCCCCGGAGCGCTCCCGGCCCGCAGCCCCCACGCAATCCCCCCGTGGGCCCTGCCGACACCGGGGGGACCCCGCTCCCGCCCCGGGCCCCGCAGCACGCTCCGACACAGGGCGCTGGGAAAGAGGAGCACGACAAATTCGGCGGAAACCTTCGGGTTTTATTGGAAAGGAAAGGTCTGCCTTACCTGGAACCAGGCTCTCCCCTTCTTTCCCTCATTAAAAAAAAAATAAAAAAATCAAAGGGCTCTGGGTAGAGCTGGAGCGAGATATTTTGAATAACCTGGTAGCAGAAATTAGCAGGAGGGAGAAATAGAAAGAAAATAAAAAAATAATCTCAGGGGGAAGAAAAAAAAAAGACACAGCCAGATATTTTTCGGTTTGTTTTGTTTTCGCTTATTATTATTTTTCACTATACTGTATTATCCTGATGCAATAAAGGCTGGTTTGTAATGTAATTTAAAAATATATATGTCCAAACAAATAGCAGGGCCAGAATATGACAAGTGCATTCAGCATTATAATTCAACTGGGCTCCACCTCCATACCGCCTCCTAATTAATGGGTCTCCGAACTTGCAAAAGCCTGCATTGGACAGAGAGAGAGAGAGAGAGAAAGAGAGAGAGAGAGAGAGGGCGAAAAGTGTCATTGAAGATAATTGATTACCTCCCAATCAACAATAACTTGTTAGCAATAGTCAATTACCCCATCTCTTCTCGCTTCTTTCCCCCTGGTCCGAGGTCTCGGTGCGAGGGCTGCTCTTCCCCTCTACGAAGTCAGCTTTTTCTTTTTCTCTTTCTTTTTTTAAAATTATTTTTAAAATTTATTTTGGGGTGGGTATTAGCTGGAGGTGGGGAGGGCAGGGAAAGTGCTGTGATTTGGGGTGTTTCTTAAAATAGCAGCTAGAAAGAGAAAGAAAGAGGAGAGACAGGAAGAGAGAGAGAGAGAGAGAGAGTGAGAGAGAGAGAGGAGACAGACAGGAGGGGGGGAAATCTCCGACCCAAAACCCTGGGACAAGAGGTACGGCAGGACCACCTCTCGGCGAGGGACCGACGGCAGCTCTGCTCCGCTCCGCGCCCGCCCGCCGCCCTGCCCGCCCGGCCCGCCGCCCGACGTGGCTCTCCCCGGGAGGACCCGGGGCTCCTCCGCCGGAGTTGGAGGTGGGCTTCAACTTTTGCTCGCTGTCTTCGCTGCCGTCACCCCGCGGTCCCGCCGGGGGCTTCTCCCCGCGGCAGCGCATCCCCGTCGCGGGTGGGGAAGGCAGCCCCGTGCAGCCCGGCCCCACCATGACTTCCAAAGAAGAACCCAAGCCTTCCTCGGGGGAAGAACGGCGGCGGAGCCCCTTGGATCACCTCCCACCGCCGGCCAACTCCAACAAGCCCCTCACCCCCTTCAGCATCGAGGACATCCTCAACAAGCCCTCGGTGCGGAGGAGTTACACCCTCTGCGGAACGGCCCACCTCCTCTCCGCCGCCGAGAAGCACCCCCCGGCCGGGCTGCCCCTCTCCGGCCGGGCGCTGCTCTCCCAGACCTCGCCCCTCTGTGCCCTGGAAGAGCTGGCCAGCAAGACCTTCAAGGGGCTGGAAGTCAGCGTGCTGCAAGCGGCCGAAGGTAAGCCCCTCTCAGAGTAGGGGGGTCCTCCAACGGGTGGGTACCCCGCTCCTCCCCACGGCCTGGCTTTCCTTCTCTCCTCGTCCCCCGCCATCTCCCAGGGTGTCGCATGGGGTGGGAGGGGGTCCCTGGGCGGCCCGTACCCGGCCGGTACCCGGCAGCATCCTCCCCCACAGCCCTCGGGGTTGCGGGAGAGGGGGCTCTGCCCCGCTCGCTCCAGATATCGACGGGGCAGGGGTGTGGGGTCCTGGGGCTCGGGTCGGGGTGGACACGGGAAAGCGGGGACAATCTGGCGGCTCGTCGGCAGGCCGGGACGGGATGACCATCTTCGGGCAGCGGCAAACGCCGAAGAAGCGTCGGAAGTCGCGGACGGCCTTCACCAACCACCAGATCTACGAGCTGGAGAAGCGGTTCCTCTACCAAAAATACCTGTCGCCCGCGGACCGGGACCAGATCGCCCAGCAGCTGGGGCTCACCAACGCCCAGGTCATCACCTGGTTCCAGAACCGCCGCGCCAAGCTCAAGAGAGACCTGGAGGAGATGAAGGCCGACGTGGAATCGGCCAAAAAGCTGGGCCCCAACCCCGCCGTGGACATCGTGGCCTTGGCCGAGCTGGAGCCCAGCGCCGAGGGAAGGGGCAAGGCGCGGCCCGGGTCCCCGCCGCCGCCCCCCGCCGCCCGGGAGCCCGGCGCTCCGCCGCCGCCCCGCCCCGCCTCGCCCCCCACGGAGCGGCCCCGCAGCCGCCGGGACAGCGAGGAGGAGGAGGAAGAGGAGGAGGAGGACGTGGAGATCGACGTGGATGACTGAGGGGCGGCCGGCGTCCCCCCCGTGTCCCTCCCCCCCCATCCCGACAGCTCCAAACCGGCACCCTCGGCCCCCCATCCCGGCCCCGGCAGCGCGGCGGGGCGGCTGCTCCCCTCGGTCGGAGCAATAAGCAATAGAACCCCAGCACAGACACACACCCCGAGTCATTTAGGGTAGAGTCGATATCCCTCCGCCTGCCACATCTTCGGAACGGTGCAATTATGGACGGCTTCTGTATAAATATTTAAACTTATATATTGGAATTTTTTTCCTTCCCCCTTCTTTTTGAGGTTTTGATTATTATTTTTTCTAATAGCTATCCGTGATGATTATTTTACCTATAAGGGAGACGCGTAACCTTGGAATAAACCTGGCTTCCAACAGATGTTTGGGAAAGCAGTTGTTTTCAAAGACTTCCGAAACAAACCACTTTAGAGAAGATTTAAGTTAGGCTTAAAACGGCAACAGCAAAAAAATTAGCCGCTTTCCTTTCCTTGCATGTTTCAGATGTGCACGAACTAATTTTTTTCCTTTTAAAAATATTTTTTTTCTTTCGCAATCTTGGGAACTTGGGGCTGGGTGATAATGCAAGTTGAAAAATATATACTTTCTTTTTTTTCCTAGAGCATAGAGATTTGTCTCCAATGCAATTTCTGCCTCATTTTACCAATTAAAAGCTATTTTTACCATTTTCTGCTATTGTTGTGCTTTTATTAAAAAGCTGCCTTTCGTATTTTTGATATGAAGGTGGTAACAAAAAAAAAAAAAGGAAAAATAATAAAATCCTAGAATTATTTTTTACTCTTTTTAGAATTTTTTTGCATGCTATGGAAATAAAAAAGGACAAATCCCAAAATCAATACATTTAAATATTACTCTATAAATTTTAAAAAAATGTACAGATTTAAGACCTGGTTTTGTTTGAATTGTACAAATTTTAAAAGGCCTGCTATTTAAGTTCCGATAGGGACAATGTCGCTTTATTTACTGTCTCTTAGAATTGTACAGATAGCTCCTTTTTTCCGATACAATAAAATCTTTACCATTTTAATATACTTTTTAACGTCCTTCATTTGTGGCCGAAAAAACACCCCGCCGGTCCGAGGCTACACCAGACTTTTCCCCCACAGGAATTTCCCATCCCGTTTGCATTTAAAGTTACTCTGAGAGCAGCGCCTGCGAGAAAAATGACGGGAAAGGAACACACGAGCTAGACCAATACTATTATTTCGGGTTTTTTTCTAAGTCTAATGCCAGGCAGAGTTTAGCAGAGGGAGAACGCGGAGCACCGATAAGGCCGGAGGTGCGGGCAGCGCGTCCCGGGCGCGGGGGATGCGCGGCGGCGGCGGGAGCGCGGAGGGGAGAGCGGAGCCACCGGGACCCCGCGGGCAGCAGGGCATTTCCAGCCTGAAATTGGGGGGGAAAGAGGGGCAGAGAAAAAAAAAATGGCAAGAAAAAAACAAATCCGAGCGACAGCAAGGAGTTATCAGCGATTTGGACAAAAGGAGCGGGGTGTGCTGGGGGGGAGCTGCCCTCCGCCCGGCGGGCCAGGCCTCCCGCGTCTGCCCAAAAGCTGCCACGGGCACACGGGGATGGAAAATGTTGCGTTTCCTCCCTTTAATTCTTTTTATTTTCATTTCCTCCTTGCTTTTTTTTTTTTTCCCTCTCCTTTTTTTCCCCATTTCTTTTTTCTTTATTTTTGTTTCCAGCCAAAATTAAAGCTCTGGTGAATGTGCTTTCTCTTGGCAGCGTGACTTGCCTTTGGAGTCGAGCAACGTGTGTTTGTCCCTATTCTTTGTAAAATTTATGTGAGAATGGCAAATCTGGTGTACAGTGGTGGAGTCGGCAGAGAAGTGTCCAGATAAGACGGGGTTGGTTTGTGGGTTGGATTTTTTTTTTTTTTGGTCCAGTTTCTCCGAGGCTAAATAAATCTTTCTCCTCTTTGAGAATGGATGGGGTTGTAATTTTTAGCGTAAAGCATGAAAACTGGGGACAAATGAGCCCTCTTCTCTGAAGTGACAAGCGACAATGGAGCATATACAGCCTCCTGCGGTTCGCCATGCTGAAACAAGCGTGCCCCTCCGCAGCAGAGAGAAGGCGAGCGCTTGGAGACCATATGGTTTTTGAATTTTCTTCACAATTTCCAGACAATTTGATGGATTAGGTTAACCCTCCCTTCCACTGTTTAACTCCACAACAATGGGAGCAGAGCTGTTCTCCCTTCGTCGGGGCATCTGTGCGCTTCTATTCTTTTTCCTTTCTCTCTTGGTATTTGGAACAAGCCTATGAATTACAATGAAATTCACTTTTCTTTAGTATTATTTGGAAGAGCACTTGTTTTCCGCCACCTCCCGCCCCCACTCCGCCACCCCCTCTTTTTTTTATTTTTCTTTTTTTTTTTTTTTTTAACCTCCGAATGATAGCTTTGACTTCTGTCCAGATCTCTCGGAAAGCCTTCAATCTTGTCCTTAAGTGTTTTTATGCTAAACAGGGAAACGTAAATGCTGAGAAACTGTGACATTTATGTGAAGATCTAGTTAAAGGGCTTTATTTGTTTTCTTTATCTGTTTTTTTTTTCCCATTCCCTCTCCTGTTCCCCCTCCTCTTGTGTCCCCTCCCTCCCCCCAGTCTTTTATTCTTTTGTCTTGGAATGGATTTAATGAGGCTGCAAACAGTACAATTCACTATAACCAAGAAATAGAAAAAAAAAAAGGAAAAAAAAAGAAAGAAAAAAAAAGTGGCTGGGTGTATGGAAAATAGGCTGGGAGTTAATTTGGGTTTCTGATCTATTGACTTCTGAGTGCAAAGACAAGAGATGCCGGGCCGCCTTGCACCCGCAGAAGTTTACCACACGTGGCTGGGGCGGGTTAGTAAATAAAGCCTCCTCCTGAAGATTTGTAGCCTGTTAATTTGGCTAGCTCCCTATTCCCAGAAAACTGGGATTTTGACTGTTTAATCTGCGTTTTGACAAACAAAAGATTTTTTTTTTTTTGGCTTAAAAATGAAGCTCTGGATTGTGCCCTTCGTTTGCCATTCAGTTTGAAATGCGCCGTTCCCTGGGATCACCTACATGAATAGATGTATTGCTCGGGGTTTGGTCTCCCTGGAATGTTAGATACAATACGGTTTTGGGTTTGGTTTTTTTGTTTTTTTTTCTTTTCCGTGGTATGTTTGTTTGTTTTCTGGTTTCTGTTCTTTTTTCGGGGGACGGGGGTGGGTGGGTGTAGGAGTGGGACTACTGTTTGTTTGTCGGATGGTTTGGGGTTTTTTTTCCCCCGCAGCAGCAATAGAGACGCGGCGACAGCGCTGAATAGTGCCCTCTGGAATGACCCAGCCGCAGCCCTTCCCGGCCCACTCGGAGGGCTGCTGCCATGGACGCGGCATGGAACCCCTGCTGCCCGCCCCAGATTCCCAGATTTACCCCAAATTAGGGATCTGCGGATCTGCCTCGCCGACCCAGGGGCCGCCGACCGCTCCCGTCCGTGTCCAGCGCTATCCCGGAGAAGGAGGGCGCTGGGCCGAGCCCCCCCGCTGGAACTTGCTGGCCGGGACACCTGGGGCAGCGGTCCCCTTGTCCGGCCTTCAGCCTGCCCCCAGCGCTTCCTGCACGGATTCACAGCGGGGGGCACAGTCCGCCCCGTGTCCCACTCCCGGCAAACCCGCAGCGTCTCGGAGCTTCTCGCCCCCAGCCCGGTGCTCCGTGTCCTGGGCACCGGCTCACCGCGGCTCGCCCTGGGAAAAGGTGGGCGTGGGGCAGAGGGACACACAGGCCTTTCCCAAGTGATTCCTGAGAAGAAAAATAAAGGCGTTAATCCGCTTAAACACCCCAGGTCCTGGCCCGGAGAAGTGAAAACTAGCAATTGGCAAAGGGGTGTGTGGGAACACGGAGGTGCCTTGCGGGAGCCAGCTGGGGCCCGGAGGTCGCTCATCACCCGGGGCTGTACTGCCCCGTGTCCCCCGCGCCGGGGCGGGCACCTGGCGCGGGCAGGTGCGGGCAGGGGCAGCGCGGGCGTGGCGACCCCCGAGGGCTGGGTCCAGCCCGCCCCTCGACCACCGCTGTTCCCTCCCCGGCAGAAACCCCATTTCTCTAACTCGGGAGCCGGACATGCCCTCCCGCGTGTCCCCCCGCTCCCGCCCATCCTCCCGCCCCTGCCATACCCATCCTTCATCCCCAAACTTGACACTGCCTTAGATTTCGTTTGGAGGTGTGAAGGGAGCGGGAGGGGAGGAGGCGGTGGGGGGTGTTGTCTGCTTGGAAAAGCCACTGTTTAGTGTTTGCAGGGGGGAGTTAAGATTTTTTTTTTCCCTGAGGGGGGTGGAGAAGATCCATATTTGATCTTGTTCACTTCACACAGGGCTCCCAGACGGAGAATAAAGCCCCCTTCTGAATTATCCAACAGGGTTGAAGCAGGTTGAGTCAGTGAAATTCAGTTCCTTATTTTATGAGGTGTCAGAGCTGATGTCGAATATGGCAACGATAACTAATACTACAGTCTGAGGGACCAGAACGTGGTAATTAATCCCAAAGACTTAAGTGTATTTTAGTTCAGGAGAAAAAAAATCACTAATTCAATCGTCCGGAAAATTGAAGTTTGATGCATGAGTCTCTGCTGAAAGGAAAGGCTTTTTCTTCCCGATTCTGGGGTTGGGGCAGGAATCGCAGCCTGTCTTCTCCGCTCCCCGGAAAGGCCCCTGTACAGGGCCGCTGCCCGCCCGCCCCCAGCCCGGGGCACACCGGGGACCGGGGCAGGCTGAGGTGACACA